GGAGAGTCCCATTATGTAACAGGATTTATATCACTGTTTATGCTTCATTATTATGGAAAAATACATTATAGTCATATTATATAACAGGATTTATATCACTGTTTATGCATCTCTATTCACTATTATGGAAATATACATTATAGTCCCGTTATGTAACAGGATTTATATCACTATTATGGAAAAATACATTATAGAAATACAGTATAGTTCCATTATGTAACAAGATTTATATCACTGTTATGGAAATATACATTATAGAAATACAGTAGAGTCATGTTATGTAACAGGATTTATATCACTATTATGGAAATATACATTATAGAAATACAGGAGAGTCCCATTATGTAACAGGATTTATATCACTATTATGGAAATATACATTATAGAAATACAGTAGAGTCATGTTATGTAACAGGATTTATATCACTATTATGGAAATATACATTATAGTCATTATATAACAAGATTTATATCACTGTTTATGCTTCACTATTATGGAAAAATACATTATAGTCATATTATATAACAGGATTTATATCACTGTTTATGCATCTCTATTATGGAAAAATATATTATAGAAATACAGTAGAGCCACGTTATGTAACAGGATTTATATCTCTGTTTATGCATCACTATTATGGAAAAATACATTATAGAAATATAGTATAGTCTCATTATGTAACAGTATTTATGCTTCACTATTATGGAAAAATACACTATAAAAATATATTATCATATAGTAATGACTATTATCATTATTTAGGCATCACTAATATGGAAAAATACATCATAAAAATACAGTATAGTCTCATTATGTAACAGGATTTATATCACTATTTATGCATCACTTTTCACTATTATGGAAAAATACATTATAAAAATACAATACAGTCATATATTATCGTATAGTATTGACCATACCATCATTATTTAGGCATCACTGCCGTGTTTTCTGGACTATAAGTCGCAGTTTTTTTCATAGTCTGGGGGGGGGTGATTTATTAACCCATTATTAGATAATTTCCCACGTTGTTCTCCCTCTGAACCACCAGAGGGCGCTCTGGGCCGGTCTGATCATTAAACACTGGTGGAAACTTATAAAAACACCTGAGAAGGGCTTAACAAATAAAATCAGATTCTCCAGATTACAAGATGCGAGTAGTAAAATATGCAGCTGAAAACGGGGGTCAGGCCGCAGGAAGAAAGTTTGGAGTTAAAGAGAAACCTGTGAGGGAGGAAAAGCAGAAAGGGGGATTAGTCTGAGAGGAGGAAAACTAAAAGAGCAATATAATGCATTATATTCATATATTATATAATAAGGATATCACCATTTATGCATCACTATATACAGGTAATGCTTAATATTCATATTTTATATAATCATTTTTGTCATCATTCATGAGTCAATATATATATATATATATGTAATACATTATATAATAATAATAATTATATAATTTATGCATCCCTTATGTACTAATATGCATTATAAATATATCATATAATAATAATTCTGTTATTTATTGGCCCCAGAGTCCAGAGCCTGATCTGCCCTCAGATTTGGACTCTTCAGAGTTTGGGTCTGTGGTGCGTTCAGGTGCTGGAGGAAAGCTGGGAGATCTGGACGCAGACTGAGATATATATATTATAACATTCCATACAAGAAATATATTTATATACAGAGAAATAAAATGATATATATATATATATATATGT